AAGATTATTTTGCTCAGAGAGTGGAAGACCTGTGATCTTGAAGCATCAGGTAAGTAAGTCATCAGTTTTACATAACAGAATGTTATGTCAATACTGAACTACATGAGTATGTTTATGATCTGTCTGTTGTTGAAAATGCACTATATGGGAATAATTTCTGTCTGACTTTGTATTGGAATTACAAATTTAGGAACAGCTTTAATTAAAATGTTTAACTATGACTTAGATTCTGTCAAAAAGGTTTTGATAAACTTAGCAATTATGCATGGGTTATGTTTGTGACTTCTTAATCTATGTTCATTTTTACAAATGTAACATGGACATTAATCAGTTTTGTCGAGTCAATTATATTGATATGACTGAATCAGGAAGAAATATCTTCACATAAGAACTACACAGCTTCACAGCTTCATATATCCTTTATGAAACACTTGTATGTATTTTAGTTTACATTAGGCTACATGTATTGATTAACTCTTTAAATTTCATACAGAATTATTATCTCTGCTATTATTATTAACTATTATCTCTGGAAAACAACAATGAAAACATTTGAAAATCAGCCTAAACAAACCAGACCAGCCTAAGAAACCAGACCAACAAACCATATCAGGTAGATTTTCCAGCAAAGGAGCCATAAAAGACAAAAAAGACCAGTTTTTATGTATCAGACTGTCTTATTTATTCATCTGATTTTCTAGCTTGGTCGAACACCAGTAGCTGCTCAAATCAACTGTCCTGAGAACCACAGAGTGACCGTGATGCTGTTTCTTCTTCTCTTCATGTCATTAGTTTGCTCTGGTAAATCATCTCTCACAACTGCACACAAACATATGTACAAAGTTGTTTTAATGACTAAATATATAAGTCTCATTGGTTTCATTGTTGTTTTATGGGTCATTACACAAATTGTTCTGTATTTTACTGCAAATAATGGCACATAAAGGGTAGCTTATAATCAGACAGTCTTCAAGATGGTCAGGTCTTCACCCTGTTTTGAGTTCATTTTGCTATTAAACTGAGTGACTGCACATTCTCTAACTTATTACAAGGCTGCTTAGCAAATCAATGGCCATGAAATATTGATCTGAGTTGAAGTTTCTTGAGAAGAAAGAGTGCAGAGTGATACAGGAGAAACTAGAAAACTGTAGGAAACCTTAGGCTCACTGTGCTGAACTGTGCATGGGAATGCTATATCAGAATATCTATATCTGTACAAAAATAATTCATTTTAAACTTATGATTTGACAGGACTGTCAGTGGAGAGCTATGGAAAATACTTCATCACAGCATTCCCAGAAAACATTGCCTACTACCATCCACAGGAGCCCTCCAACACGCTCCAAATTACTGCTTTCTACGACGACACCCTCATCTCAATCAGCATCAACTACACAAACGTATATAATGATAAGATACAGTCTGGGCAGACTAAAATTGTGCATTTTCCCAAGTACATCGAGCAATATCAGTTCACAAACTCCCCTCTTTTAGTCAAAGTCAACAGCACTGAAAAGATCGTGGTGCTTTGGCTCAGTAAACGCGGGGACAGCGTGCAGTCTAATGTCGTTCAACCTGTAAAAAATCTCGGAAAGTCGTATTCAATCCCATTTATCAATTACAATCAGATGATGGCGTCCTTGTACAATATGTCAGGTCAGTTAGCTCCCGACAACTGGAGATACAATTCGTTCAGGCTGATCGTTATCAACGCCGAACACGCCGTGAACTTAATCACTGTCCAAAGTATCAGCGCGGATGGTCAAAAAGCATTTGACATTACGCTCAGGCCTTACGAACTTTACCAGTTCCAAACTAACGGTTCGGACATTAAACTGTACTCTAATGCCAACATGGCTGTGCTGTTAACCCACCCGTGTGTAGAAACTACCGGATGTGATTGCAATATGGTGGTGAGCCACGTTCATCCCCAAAAGCTGTGGGGTGACACGTTTGTTGTGCCGTTGGTGAAGAACCTGAATACAGCCTGGCTGCAAGTGACTAACACAACGAATGTAAGGCTCAATGGCAGGAATATAAAAACTCAACAGTCCAATTCCTCAGAGCTAATTCCCTTCCCGGAACTTAAGAGTGCATCTCAGTTCATCAGTGCATCAAATGAGGTGTCCATCAGACTTATCAGTCCAGGCCTCGTCTTAGAACTCATACCAGAAACCATGTTCGCCGCTTGTTACCTGGTTCAGATGAACTCGACAGAAGGTGAGGCTGTTATCATAGCTGAAACAGCCAGTAAGGACAATGTGTATATAGACGGCAAATTACTGAAATCCACTGGCTGGAAACCCATTCCCTATTCAAACTACTCTTCCATATCTGTGTCGCTTAATGGTGTGCATGTCATCTGGCATCCAACCTCCAAGATCGGAGTGTACAGGTTTGAGAAGATGGAGAGTGGAATTCCTTACGGAAGCCCGGCTATCATTTTAAACGGAGACCCAGGTAAAATGTTATCTTTTTTTATCCAAGAGTAAGTTAAAGTCAACATCAAATTATACTTACAACCTGTACTCCCATTTTTGTAAGGATTCGATTTTAATTGGTTTATGAAATCAGGAATTGATTGGATTGGCAAAATTAAGATGTTATTGAATGTCTGAATGGCACATGGCATAAAATTGGATTAATTCGCAATGTGTTTTATACAATTATATTTATTTATGATATATAATAATACTGCTATACACCACAGTTTAAAACAATTTTTTTTTAAGAAATCCATATTATTTTTGTTCAGCAAAGATGTTATAAAAAAACTATTTAAACTAAATGCTGAAGAATTCTAAAAACAAAATGTATCACAGTATTGACAGTTTTTCATAAGAAATGTTTCTTGCGCAACAAATCAGCATATTAGAATGATTTCTGAAGGATCATGTGACACTGAAGAATGGAATAATGGCTGATGAAAATTCAGCTTTGCCATCACAGGGATAAATGACATTTTAAAATACATTAAATTAGAAAACAGTTATTTTAAGTAAAAATATTAGTAAGTACTATTAATATTACAATATTGCTGTTTATACTGTGACTTCTTTCAAAAATATTTAAAAATCCCACTGACACCAAACTTTTGAACAGTAGTGTAAACAAATAATTTTGTAATTTTTAGAGCTTGATTTTTAATGAAAATGAATAGCTCAGAAAATGTATTTTAATACAAAATCTGTTCCTGACATTTTCTTATGAACGTATATCACTAATTATCTTTGGAGTAACATAAACAGATGCAAGACCAAGAATAATTTTTGAATTCATTTTAAATTTGCTGACTAATATATATTACATCATCCTACTTTAAGTTACATAAAAATGCGAATAAATCAAAATTCACAGTGCATACTGTAAATGTGTTAACATATGTTTGTGTGCGCACAGATCGTGATGGCTGTGTGGCAGATTCTGCACAATTTAAGACCACTACTGATGTCATGACATGGCCCCAGTCCCAGCATTATTGCCTAAATATATCTTACCAGCTGAGCACACCAAGCAGTGAAATGGCCCAAAAAGAGATGACCAACTTTCTGCAAAACAACGGAAGTCGCGGGTACCTCTGGATCGGTCTGCGACACAGTATCTTCACGTCAGAGTGGTACTGGCAGAAAGGCAATGACAGTGAATACAGCGTGAGCTACACGAAGTGGGCCGATGGGCATCCAGATAAGCCCTGGAAAGCTTTGTGCGCTGCTGTGTCCCAAGACTCCAACAAGGAGTTTTCCTGGAAGAGCGTGTCCTGTTGCACCAAGCTTAGGCCCATCTGCTACAAACAGGGCAAATACTTTAGTGATATGACCTTTAATACACTATATGATCATTTTAGCATTACGTTGCCAAAGGTCTGTCCTTCTTGCCGAAATTATTGACCTGAAGTTAGTAACTGCAATAATAAATCATATTACAACAGTTTAATCATGGTTCTTGGTAAAATGAATCTAATTGCTCACTTCATAGAATTTTGGTTGCATTTTATGTGCGTAATATAAATCAATATTCACATTTAAAAATATATGGATCTTCTGAAAACACAATAAAGCTACATATTATTAGTTCTATATCATATTTTAGGGCTTCACATACTATTATTGCACAAACCAAAACTGAATAGCCTCTCAAATATGGCAACTATCAAAACTTTAATGTCTGATATAATGCATGGTGATCTAAAGTGAAGGCAACTAAAGTGAAATTATTGTAGGGGAATACAAGCATATGTCACAAGATCACAGTGCTCTTTTTAATATCACCATAGACACCTTCAAGCCTATTTGACTTGATTCTGGTGCATTATGGGTGTGTTTACCTCTGTTGGTTGACGTTTTTCGGCTCACCATCGCCTCCATTCTGTGATGTCATTTAGGTAAATCAGGGGTTGTAGCCTTTTAATCACAGACACCTAGATACATAAACATGCAACAGTTAGAATTTTATTCAATCATAAACATGGTTTTGCTTGTAATTTTGGATCACTTGTGCCAAGTTACAAATTCAGCTGTTTTCAATAAATTACTTTCAAATTCATAATCTGTGTTGGAAGTATTTCCCTTTATCTTACCCTATCCATATGGGTTTATGTTTTATTTAAGGCATATGTTTGTCATACATGTGAATTGTTAGCATCACATGTGAGTGAACTTGTGCCGTAATGTAGGATACTTTACTGTCATCAGCATTACCACATTTGGCTGTGTTTTTGCACTAAATACTTGTGGTAAAACGGTTGCAATAACAACTGTAAGCACGTTTTTAAAATGCTTTTTGCAAATCTCTTGGATCAGCTGTATGACATTTTATTAGTGGGAATTGAACAGCAGAATTTTGCATTGTAAACAACATTATATCAAATGACGTATATGTACTGAAGTGTCTGACATAGCCAGGATCCTATGCAAATCTGAGAAAAAAAACAAGCATTTTGAAAGTCAGATGTGTCCGAGCTAAAATAAGGGCAAAGGGGTGATTTTTAGAGAGAAGAACAGTACTGACCAAGACATCAGGTAATAGATTTTGTTGTAGCTAGAGATGTAGCATAGCAGATGGTTTGTGTAGATAAGTGTTGGAGTTCTGAAATGTGTCCTTTAATGATGTAGAATTTCTGCAAAGAAAAAATATACCGTTGCCTTTTTTGTTTGTCTTGGCTGATTTGTATTAACTTTAGAAAGTCTGGGTAGGGTGTTAAGAATTGTGCAATATTAACACCTACAAATGCAACTTATATACACTGCATATTAACTTCAAAAGAGACAGACATGTAGATGTAGTCACTGAAAGATGTTTTCTCTGTTTTATGGGGATGGACATAGTTAAATTAGACCTTGTTTAGTGCATCAAAATTTGTTATTACTTTACTATAGTTTAGGGGTGAATAATTTATTATTTGTTTATTATTCTTGCAACAATAGTTATTACTGTAAGAGTTTTCATTATTAAGCATTGCTGTATGATAAGAACTTTGTCTAGTGCTCTTATGAATGTTTTAGCATGACTTTGTGAAAGGTTAACTAAACTACAACGACCTCATAGCTGGCTATGGCCATGGTTGCTTGTAATCGAAAACACTCTATTCATTTACACACATTAATGTGTAGCAAAACATTTTGCAATCAATGTGTTTTTTGTCATTTCTTCCAGCGCTAGAGCACAGAGCAAGTTAAAGCCATAACCATGCTTGTTTTTCTGCTGATCGCATCAATGTTTCGCCAAGGTAAGGCAAGAAATTTTACTGTCCTCTATGACAGCGGTTTGGATAAAAACAAATACATTTAAATGAAACGAATGATTTACTGATCTGGTTTCTCCCAGATTTGGCCGTTTTTGTTGTTCCACCTGAAAGATTTTGAGAACTGCTATTTTAAAGTTATTTGGGATGCAGTGTAACTATTTTCAAACTGATGTGTGTGTTGATCTCATGCTCATGTTAAGTGAACACTTTTATTTTAGGTCTTACAGTAGTGGGCTATGGAGACAAATTTATCACTGCCTTTCCAGAGAACCTTGGTTTCTTCTATCCATCTGATACCATTAACCGTCTAAGAGTCACGGCCCTTCATGACAACACTACATTCAAAGTCGTCTACAAAACCACACAGAAAGTCTTACAAATCCCAAAGTCAGGGCAGACCATGAGTATTCGGTTTCCAACGTCTGCTGAAGTAAATGAACAAGGCCCCTCGATTTTATCTGTCAGAATTAGCAGTGACAAAAACATCACAGTGGTTTCTATAAGTCACCGGGCAGACAGCACACAGTCCTATGTCGTCCAGCCAACTGTAAATCTTGGCACAAATTATTTGATCCCTTTGCTGGATTACCCAAATTATCTTCAATCTTTCAACCTACCTTTGCTTGTCAGTACAACCTTAAGATACAGCTCATTCAAGTTACTCATTATCAATGCGGTGGGCAGTCAAAACAGCGTCACTATAGTCAAGCAAACATCAACATCAGGTGTTCGTGAAGAGACGTTCAGTATCGACTCCTACGAGCTGGTCCAGCTTCAGACCAACGGTTCTATTTTGAGGGTCAGATCGAGCAAAGAAGTCGCTGTGATATTGACCCACCCGTGTGTAGAGACTGAGAGCTGTAATTGTAACATGGTAATGAATCAGATTCTTCCCACAAAGTTTCAGGGTCAGAGCTTTATCGTGCCTTCCATCTTCAATGTGTCTAAGACCAAGTTACTTATGCTATCAGGAAACACGTCCTCGCTATTTCACAATGGTAACCAGTTACAGGCTTCTCCCTCAACGCTTCTGCCATTTTTAGACCTGCAGAAATCCCAGCTGGTTAATGCTACGGAGCGAGTGTCCCTCAGACTTTTCAGTCCAGGCCTCATTGTGGAGCTGATCCCAGAAAACATGTTCTTTGCTTGCTACCTGCTGCAGTTTGCTGATACAAATGGCAAGGCTTTGGTGATCGCTGAAACAGACAGCAAAGATGATGTGCGCATACATGGAGGTTTGCTCTCAGCGTCTGACTGGACAGCAATCACTGGCACAAACTACTCTTCAACTGTTGTAACTATACCATATAAAATGACCACAATCTGGCACCCAACATCAAGGATTGCCGTTTATATGCTGGAACATATGTCTGCAAAAGTAATATTTGGAGGCCCGGCTGTACCAATCAATAAAAATCCAGGTAAAAAGATCTTATTTGAATCATATCTATCTATCTATCTATCTATCTATCTATCTATCTGTCTATCTGTCTGTCTGTCTGTCTGTCTGTCTGTTGTCCTCAATTCCATTTCAGGAACTGAATTAGAATCGAAAATAAAAACATTCTCAATTCAGTTTTCAATGGTGCACGACCCTGGCTGGTGGAAGGCAAAAGGTAAAAATCTGTTCATTTGTTCATGCATCCAGATCTTCGTGGTTGTGTGTTGGTTCCTGGAGCATTTGCGATTGGACGGGACCCTCTGACTTGGAAGAAGTCTCGCGAGTACTGCATGAATAACGGAAATCAGTTTGCCTGTCCTGTAACTGAATCTGTCCATAAAGACATGGCTGATAACCTGACCAGGGAGGATGGGGATGGCTGGATCGGTCTGCGCCGCAGTTTACTAACTACAGACTGGTACTGGCAGGAGGAGTATGATCCCCCGATCTCTGTCAATTATGTTCACTGGGACAACAAGCATCCACTGGACCTTTTGAAGGGCTTATGCACTTCAGTGTCCCTTCAGCCTAGAAATGATTTAAAATGGCGAAGTGCACGCTGCTGCTATAAAAAGAAGCCTGTCTGCTACAAAAGGCCAGCATATCTTAATCCATCTCAAGATTTCTTGGTAATAAATGTAGTTTAGTGCTTGTTGTTGGTAATGCTATTCTTTAGGTTCATTATTTCATATTTGTATCAGCGCCTGCATATCTGAGATTTCAAGCAGTTGCGTTGATATCATGAACATATGTAGACGGATCTGGATCCTGAATTAAAATCTGTTTTTTAACTTAGACATCAACTCAAATGGTAGCAGGAAGTAGATCCTGGAGTTATGAATGCCACATCAACAATAAAATGTATATCATTAATAAAATTAACAAAATATTACAATCAACATACACCTTTAAAGACAGTGTTGTATATAACAAACTAAAATGATATAAAGCATGAGTTGAAATGCATTATGCTTTTTTAAAAGCAGGCATGCAGTCCTTATTTGTGCCTGAAGTATTTTTTTCACCACTGTCTATCTTACAGTATGGTAATATCTACTGATTTTATGCTCAAAATAGAATATAGTGACTGATGAAATAATGTTACATAGCATACATGTCTCTAATTAAAGCATGTAGTGACCAATTTCTATAACCTACTTCATGTACCTAATTACTGTACATAATTTACATAAAGAAAATCTGTGAATATGCTTTTCATTGTGTGTAAATGGATCCACTCAGCAGACATTGTCTCAGGGTTGATTTGAACTGATGAACTGTCTCTTTCAATCAATATCCCACATACAATAATGTGTAAATTTGTACTTTTGAAATGGATATATGACACATAAGAAGTGCAGCCTTCTGCATCTCAATACAGTAACTGTCATCCAAACTGTTGCCATAGTTTACATCAGGTAATACTAACAAAGTGCACTGTTATATTGACAATATGACTAAGCATTTTTACAACCTTGTTTGTGAACAATGATACAAGGACTTTTCATTCTGATGGCACTGATATGTTCATAGACATAAGTACTTGCTTTTGGAAGATGAACTAAAGATTTTGAGTAAGTTACAGGCTTTTGTAGGTAATCCATTGTGTGGTGCTGTTTGTACAAATTGTTTTGAGAAATGCACATACTTCTTTGCAACTATTAAGAATGATTCGAGAAATGCACCAAAGTGACTGAGAAAAACTGTAATTAAATTTATTGCTTGTCACCTTTATGTTCCCTTGTATATTCTTATGTTTTGATCAAATATTCTTCTCTAGAGACAGTGTTGAGTGTTTTTTTTATAGGTACAAATTATGCATGCTTTTATGCAAATTCTTATTACCAAGTCTGGATAGACGTGGGTATTTATAAAAGCACTAATCTGTTTGAATGCTACTTCACAAATATGCATGTAAAACAACCTTATGACATACTGTACATTCAGGTTATTTGTTGCCAGCAGATGTGGTTAAATAGTGAAGCAAATGTTGAGTTTATCCATTTTCAGCGATTCAGAGGATGCTATGATCAGGGGCACAAGTAGACTCTTTTAACTGGGGAACGAGCCCTAGTTAAATATGCCCCTTTAAGGAAGAATGTGCATTAAATTGTACCAGATTTGGATGATGAAGCATCATCCAATGTGTTATTATGGGAAATAAATAGAAACATTTGTTAATTTAGTTGTTATAGCACGAAATATAAAATTATTCAAAGAGGCAATAAGCCCCTAGCTAAATCTTTACAGAATGTAAAATTGTGTTTTGAAAATTTAATAATGGATGACAAACAACACGGAATCCCAGTAAAAGAGATTAATCTGAGAGGTATATTTATTTTATGACTTCTATATAGTCAGGCATAGGAATATTTATGCCCAGATTTTAATCTTAGATACGTCATAATAGCAACACAATGGGCCTCATTCATGAAACATTCGTAAATAAAGGAGTAAATACTGAGTAATTTGCGCGTAAAACGGACCTTCCCAAAAACTCTCCTCCGAATTCACAAACACTTCGTACACATCAGATTTGATAGTTAAACATGTGTATGTTAATGAATTCCAATCATTCGTAAATAGGGCGCTCGTGCACACTCATTCACAGTTAGCATAACCCCCGCCTATGAATTACAGCTACGCAAATTGCGTGTCCAGGAACGCAGTGGAATATTCTGGTCTACTTTCTCAGGTTTGGCTCCAGTATATTGCATAAATGCTAAAAATACTAATAGGCCATATGCCTAACAATACATAGTCAATAACACGTGGTAGGGAGCAGGTGTAAATTTCTTTCGTACCAACTAACATTCTGAAAATACGAACACTGTCATGAATCCGAAAATTTACGTCAGAACGGCTTTACGAACGGTTTACACAAAAATTCGTTCTGCTCGTGTTTCATGAATGAGGCCCATTGAATCCAAATTGAATTTATTTACCCAATAGCCTATAGGTTTTAATGAAAAACGTAATCTAAATGTACACTAAATTCACGGAAATATTGACTACAAAAAGTATGGTTATTACGTTGGAAAATAATAAAACTAGTAACAACATGACTCTGTGCCTTCTGTGCCAATTCTGGAGGCCATCTTACTCCATGGGACCAATTTTATCTTATTGGACAAGCAAGATTTCACTTATATGTAATGCATTCGTACAAAAATAAATGTACTGCATAAATACAAATGTTCATATACTTTTTTATTTTTTTTTATTTTTTCTATGTACTATTGACTTTTCTCAACAAATATCGGATTTTTTTTTATAAAACCTTCATTTCCATGGTTGACTGTCATGGTGAAAAAACAACTAAACATTTTGACCAGTGTGGCTCACACGATGACAAAAATACTTGATATTTTGGTGGCCTTGGCCAAATTACTGACACGATAACTAGGTTTTGAAGCATGAGTGAAATGTTTTGGGTGAGTAACTACATTTTGCAGACGTGCAATAAAGTTCTGAAGTTCCAGCAAACAGTTGTGACATTTGCACTCACAGTTTAGAGAATGTTAAGATTGTTTCGAAAAATGTGCCAAAGCAATTGAGAAAAACTGTAAATGAAAATCTAAAAGCACTGGTATGTCCACAAATCCCTCATGGACAAACAGACACAAACAACTTTGACGTTCAAAATAATACAAAGTTATAGGCCTAGCCTATCTATTTTCCAGAGACACACAATTTGACAAATTAACTCTTTCGACTGACTAGATCTCAAACAATTTTGATATTCAGATAAAATGACAAAATTAAAACTAGCATAGTCGTTCCATCAAAAGTTTTGAAATTTTGTGTCGTCTTTTCAGACAGCATCACAAAAGAGTAGGCTAGGCCTATTAAAATATGAATAGACCCCAACATTATTGGCTGAACTTCTATTGGCTGGTTCTCAGTGAACTACCAATTCTTTGAACTACCAATTAATTTCGAGCCTCAGTCTGGCTGTCATCAGAGCTCTGAAAAGTTCGTGATTATGATCGCTTGGTGGCGCTGTGTTATTATAAATGACTCTTCTTGACGATTCTTAACTATAGAGCATTTATAGATCAGTGGTTACAATAGCTCTTTTAAAAGGAGCAGCAAATGTGTAAAAATAAATTAAGACCTATTTGATGCAAAGTCTAAGTTTGGTATCTTATTTGTTTATTAATAGATAAGATTTCGTGAGATTTATGAATTTTAATTGTAAAATTCTAAAGTAAAATGGAGAACAAAAGGAATTTTCGGTAATCTGAGAGTTTATCCTAATGATATATTATCCTCCTCGTGCCAAACTGCATATATGCATAGGTAGGGCCTATATAACTGCGTATGACTGCATATAAGTAAACAATAAAGAAAAAAGTATATTAATAGGCAGAATCCATGACTTAAATAATGGTTATATGTAAATGCTTTGGTTAAAATAATTATTCTAAGGTCAATTCGATTTTTAGAAACGACTTAATAATAAAAATATTAATTCAAAACTACACTTCCCATGAACACGCGCAGCACTTTACGGCAGACTGTCACATTACCGGCAGCTGACGTCACGCGCTGTTGCACGTGGATAAGCGATCTATAGCATAACATTTGAGTTTCATAAACTGTGTCGTTTTGGTTGTAGTTAACTTAGCATATTAAAAAGATTGTGGAAGCTGAGCGGCCGCAGTTCATTCATATGGACCGACAAAAGACAGCAGTTATTAGAAAACCCGCTGCAACCATCTAAACTGGCTAGCCAAAGCGCTACTTCAGCAAAGGAAGGGAAAGTACGTTTGTGGTAACGTTACGTTTTTTGTGCGGCTCTGAATACTAATGCTATTTTCGAGGTACTAAATGTATGTTTTAAATAGCAATCGCATTTTGTAATAAACGATTCATTTATAACATTTAAATCACGAATTTACCCCAAGTTGTCATTAATGAAAATCACCCTTGTTTAGAGTACACTGCCACAGAAAATATGATAATTTGTGAATTTTAGTTTGGAGAATAATTTTTTATTCCATTTTAATTTGACATGGGGTCTTTGAAACCAACATACACAATAATGGGTGAAGGAAATTATATCTTTACTGATACAGTTATAGATATTTTTGGGTGATGTGTTTGCATAACAAACTACATATATTACACAGTCATTAATTTAGCCTTTTTTCCTTTTCTAATTTACACAGGTGCAGGCTACATGACATGGAGAACTACAGAAAAGCACGCACAGTCGAGCAGCCCTGCCCGTGTCCGTTCCCCGACCTGCCCAGCGACACTCCAGAAGTTCGAGTGAAGGATGGCAGCAAAATCCGCAACCTGATGAGGTTTGCTTTAAGCCGTATGGAGGAGAAAACAGCCTCCGCAGATCATCCAGGCCCTCATGAAGGCTCAGAGGTGAGCGTTGGGTTGGGGCAGAATCTGTGCCGCCAAATCGTGTTCACGGGTGTGGGTCAGAGCGTGGCTAAAGCTATCACATGTGTGGAGATCATGAAACGCCGTGTACACGGCCTACACCAGCACACCAAGCTGGTCTATCGCACGGTTCAGGAGGTCTGGGAGCCCCTGGAGCCCGAGGCCGGCTTGGACAGTCTCACAGTCAGCAGAAATGTGCCCAGTATATGGGTCCTGCTCTCCAGAGACTCACTTGATAAGAACCAGCCGGGTTACCAAGCTCCAGGTTCTTTTGATGCCTTGTGGGCTCAGGCTCTCAAAGAGGAAGCAGCAGCTCCGAAACATGGACAGAGAAGGAAGAGGGGAGGAACAGGGGCTGGAAGGACAGAAGGGGCTGGGAGAGGAAAGGGTCCACGCAAGCACCCGGGTCGACCTGGAGAACCACGTAAACCTCTAGGTCATGCTGGGGGTGGGCAGGATTGAATCAGTGTTGCGTCTTCCTGCTGTAGCTTGGTTCATATTAAGTATTTTCCCCTTTGAAGTGCCATATCTTGAGAATGTCTGTCATAAAAATGAGAGTTTAAAAGGGCAATACATAAGTCCCTTTATAGTTCACCTAAAAATAAAATTCTGTTGTTATTGATTCATCCTTAGCTGTTTCTTTAAATAAATTAAACTGACTTCAGAAAAGCCTCACATTAAATTTCCCCATTGAAATATTGTGCCAAAGACACCAGAATCAGATATTCACCTTTTTTATGCAACAGCATGTTTTTTGTTAAAATATCTTAATGCAAAAAATTATTTATACATATATGTATGCAGATTTTTTTCAGTATATATGATATAAATTGTTAGAAAAATATAGATTTGTCCAGATTGGTGATCATATGTAATCATTGTTGAAATATTTTAAGGAAAAACATTGGAGTTGTTGCTGCTTCAGGAAGCAATTCAAAGCATGTTGAAGTAAAAAAATGCATTTCACTTCATCTTTGTCTTATATTCTTGCAGATTTGATTCACAGACTAAGTGCCAGTCAAAGTTTTTCATATCAAAAGAATGAAAATAGGCCTATGTCATGTTTTGCTACTAAACTCTATAGATTATTTCATGCAAAAGAAAGGAAATTGTGTGTTTTGAATACCAAATATGTCTGTGCAGAAAATACACAAATTTGGTCTTGAAGGGCTGTGACCGCATGCCAGTGTTTTTAAATGACACAGCTCAGAAAGCATTCAGATGTTGTATAGGGTGTTGTTTTTTGATATATAGTTCAGGTGAAAAACATGTTATTTGATCAGATTTTAGGCATATCAGCAGCAGTAGAGAAATTAAGTCAAAACTCTAAATGAATTTCATGTTTTCCCAGCAAAGACAGTGAACACTTTAGAGAAATAAGGAGCTTTAGGTTATATATTCATTAAGAAATTTCTATTTGGTAAAATTCTAAAAAAAATTTCAAATGTAATTGAAGGTTGTGATGTGTAGATACAAACAATTATCAGTTCGCTGGCTGATATTTTGTTGTTTTTTGTAACGCTGTTTTCCTTTGACTGTTTTGGAACAGAATTATCTTGAGTGAATAAAGTGCCCTATGTAATGTAGGTGTTGGTGAATTTCCGCATCTGTAATATGAAACTTGTTGATCTTAAGGCACAAATCTTTCTGGAGTCTTATGCAAAACCACATGGGGAGAAGAGAGAAGCGATTTTGAATGTCAAATGTTCTTTTACCAAATGAACAGAGAATGCACAGCTTTTTCTGTTGAGATAGAGGAAGAGTGCTGGCCAAATATAAGGTAGGATGTTTTCGCAAACAACCTCATTTATTCATTTATGTTTAAATTAGGTAAACTGAGTAAATATTTCTGAATGTTTTCCTTAGAAGTGGTCGTTGGGATGCAGGAATAGCACTATAACATTTTTTTAATATTAATATATAGTATTATTTTTTTTAAATATAATTTTTCTAATACAAGCCTAAGCAAAACAATTGCTTGTGATTATTGACTTGTAAAGTCTGTACAGATATCAAGAATTTAAGCAAATGACAAATCAGTAGAAAATAACTCTTTTGTGGTTGCCGTTGATTAACTTAAATTGATGCATTTATCTGAATGAATAAAAAAGATTTAACACAGCCTCCTAGATATGAATTAATATGAAATAATTTCTAGTATTTAATGCACTTTGTATGAAGTTCTAAAACCTATATTTAGTAATGTGACTACTCAATGTAAAGCTGCCCGACACAATTTTATGGGCTGAAGAGTAAACTATTAATGTTGTTCATTATCAGAATTGTTTCCTATATTCATGTTATACAGCTATAATATAGCTATACAGCTAATAATAATTTCACTAATGACATTAGTCTCAGTATCTATGTAATGTATATATTTGAAAGAAATATACTTTTATTCAGCAAGGATGCATTAAACTGATCAAAAGTGACAGATTATTATAAAATTACAGAAAATGTTTCAAATATATGCTGTTCCTTTGAACTTTGTATTCATCAAAACATTTTGGAGTAATGGCTGCTAAAAAAATCGGCTTTGCTTCACATGAATACATTACTTTTGTTTAAAAAATATATGCTCCTGTGGCAGGTTGAACTTCCTCAGCTGGCGAAGGAAATACAACCTCTGCTGGGCCTCTGCAAATGAGAGACAAAACATTGAAAGCAGGTATTCTACATTTTACATATTTCTAGTTTGATTAACTGCAAGAAGAGCCTCCTCAGTGGAAAATATGGTTTACTGTTGTCTGCATGTGAATTTTGTACAATAAATACTGGATCAACTGAGTGTTTTTAAAAATATTTGTCATTTACTTTTTTTTTTTTTTTGCTAGCATAGTGCACAGTAGCTGAAACCAACTTCACACAAGGCGGGAGCTGCATATGCAAAACATGCAGTCATGTTGGCTGTTCTCTTGACCATTTTGATGTTTAATCAAGGTAAATAATGCATACAGACAAATCTCTTTATGTTCTGCATTATTTAATACAATTACTACAGATGCACCAATACCAATTCAAGACGCCAAACATTTTGTACTCAATAAGATGTTTTTGTAATGAAACTGATTGTGCTCAAGTCCTGTCCTTGAAATTGCTGTTAGAAATATCACAATGGCTGTCTCAAATTTTCAAAGTGCAGTTATGCCAATAGATTCAGAACATTGATGATAATATTGATACCAGAAACAAGTATTTACCCTCCAGTATCAACTTGATACGAGTGCAACGGAGTAGTATTGGTGCATCTGTAGTGATTATCACTGGTTAAAAATAAGTTAGAAATTTTTAAATAGCTAAACGAACATGATTATTAGATATTGAACATTCACAGGGCTTTCATTGGACAATCGTGGGACGAGTTTCATCACTGCATTCCCCGAGAACATTGCTGTTTATTATCGAAAGACCTATAACCTATTCAAAATCACTACCCTTCACCAAAACACTATGATCAATGTTGCCTATATGGCCAACGGCAATGTCACCACCAACACAAGCCTCGCCGAAGGAATAATTTGGACTTTGAATTTGACAAAGCAGGTTGAAGAATCCCAGTTTATGTCTTCCAATAAGACGTTTCGAATCACCAGTGATAAAAACATCACAGTGGTTTCTGTGAGTGGATGGAAGGGGAGATTCCAGTCTCACGTTGTCCAGCCTGAACAAAATCTGGGAAAGGTGTATCAGGTTCCCTCTCTGAATTACACCAAGATAGCCACGTCCTTTAACCTCACGGTGACATCAAATGTCAGATTCCTGCCTTTTAGGCTGATGATCATCAATGCAGTGGACATGGACAAGAGTGTCACCATCAAAGGGGTAGATGAAAGAGGTCAGAGCCAAGAAGATACAATAATGCTCGATCCTTACAATCTTTACCAGATTCAGATTAATGGGTCGGTGAGACAAATCAACGCAGAGGACAAAGTGGCTGTGATTCTGACCCATCCGTGCTTTGACAGCAAAAACTGCTCATGCAACATGATTCTGAACCAGCTCCAACCCTATGTGTCAAACAACAATAAAGACAGATTCCTCGTGCCCCCCATCTTCAGTGCCAGACAGCTACTTGTGACAACAAATCAACCCTTCCAAGTCTGTCAAGGTTGTTTTTCTCCTTATACTGGTGTTTGGGTGCAAAATTCTTCAGACATCCTGCCATTATTACCCAATTTTAAGAACATCATCTCAACTATTTCTACCACCGTCCAGGTTTCCCTCCGATTAATCAGTCCTGGACTTGTTCTAGACCTCATTCCGATAAGCAAGTTCTCTGGCTGTTATCTGGTGGATTTTAATTCCTCACACAGTGGTGCCTTGGTAATTGCTAATACATCCAGTGCTGATGCTGTGCGAATGAATGATCAGCCTTTGCCTCCACACAAATAGAACGTTATGAATGGCACAGGGTTCTCTTGAGCTCTAGTGGAGGGAGAAAGGTTAAGCACAATCTGGCATCCTTTTGCAAGGATTGGTGTATATATGATAGAACGCTTGGAGTCTAACAATACCTATGGGAGTGCAGCAACAGTTATAAATTCAGACCCAGGTGAGTGTTTGAGCTGTGTCAATTGTGATGTTTAACCATAATTTATATATACATTTGTGTGTGTGTGTGTGTGTGTGTGTGTGTGTATATATATATATATATATATATATATATATACACTGTATATATATGATTTATATTATATATAAATATAATTATATATTACATATATTTCTTAAATATACTACACAAGAGTAGCTTCTTGATGTTCAAACAGGCCAAATTTGGTAATTAACCTGAAATTGTAAGCATTTTTGTAGCTTTTACAGCTCGTAATTTAGTTAAATCATTAAGCTGGCACATGAACTCTGTAATGTGAAATTGACAACTGTAGATGATCATGACGTCATTTAAAAACATATTTGGATGTATGTGCATATATATGTGTGTATATATATATATGTGTGTGTATGTGTATATATATATATATATATATAATATATATATATAATACATATATATATATACATACATACATATAAAGATTAAAGTAGCACTGTATATATAACTTACTTTATATAAGATATGATTTTATGTACATTCACATATACCATTCACATATACCTTTTTAAAAAGTGTTTTAATGAGCATATAATACAATTAAAATGATTAACAAATAGTACTATTATATAATACAAACCATGTATTATAAACCATCTATCTGTCTTCTGCTGTTGCTTTGCTTCTAGCTTTTTTATGTTTTTGAGTGAATGCAGGTGTTTTTTCCCTGTAGGTTTTTTTAATTAAAAAAGCATTCATTTTTCATAATGTTCAGTGAAATTATTTGGTAGTCTGAGGTGGGATGGGGATTCGAGGGAGGGAGGGGGGATGGCAGATTTTTTTTATAGGTTTAAAGGGGGGCCCGACCAAAAAACCATTGAGAACCACTGTGCTAAGTTATTTCACTAACTTGTTAAATTAAGTTTTTAAGCAGTCATGTTTAATACTAACTGATTACTGAATATTGATTTGTGTGTGTTTAGATTATGGCGGCTGTATGGTGACTCCGGAGATGTTTGTACTTGGTGAAAATGAAATGAGCTGGTTCAAGTCCCGCGAGTACTGCATGAAAAATGCTTATCTGTTTGCCAGGCTCAACAATGAAAGCAGCCAGACTAAGATGGCCTTAAACATGACATTTGAAGAACCCACGGAGGGCTGGATCAGTCTGCGCCGCAGCTTGTACTCAACAGACTGGTACTGGAAAAACGAAGACACTTTCTCACCTTACGTGGACTTCACTTACTGGGAGAAAGGACAGCCTGAAAAACCGGAGAAAGGCTTGTGCGCCTTGGTTTCCCTGGATCCCAACAAGAACTTCAAGTGGAAGAGTGGACGCTGCTGTTCTAAAAAGAAGCCTGTTTGCTATAAAAGACCAAAATACTTCACTTTATGAGATACTTTGTAAACAACAGATGTCTTGAAGACTTGTGACCTCCAAAAATTTGCTTCCAGAACTATCTTTAGGGATCAGTATAGATTGGTTTGATTTTCATGCTCAACATTTATCTGTCTATACATAGTGAGGCCCCTATATTAGACTAGATTTAGAAAATGTTATCTGGTGGGCAATGACATAGATCTAGCAATAATATTAACAGTGAAAAGAAAACTTGTATTGCAGACTTTTTAGGTTAAATATAACTATTAAAAATTAGCGTGTAAGTTGAGATGCATTTTGATCTGTATCCAGACTAAGATTTAAACAGTGATTATTATTAAAGAATGTTAATTGAACAACAATGAGTCCTGTAGACTTTTTTTATACAAAATAATTAATTTTTTAGCCCTTTATTTTAAAAATCTTTACTTTAATAACAGTCACAGTCACACAAGTTTAAACTGACTTGAAAATCATCAGAAAATTAAATTTATTTAATTTTACAATCCATTTAATTTCTCACAAATGGTCTTTCTTTGATTCAATAGTAAATGTTCTTTTAAAAAAGAAGAAAAAGCAATGTTTGTCTTTGTATTTCTTTTTCGGCTGCCATTATCAAGCCATTATCTTATTTTCCAACCTGTGTGTGTGTGTGTGTGCGTGCCTGTGTGGTGGAAGTGAATATAATTAATCAGTCGTTATGTACAGGTACAGTAGATCCCAGTTTAAGAAAAAAAAAAAAATCTAAAATTCTTTATATTTTCCAATTTTTTTTTTTATTATTTTTTTTTTTGCAAAACTTTAATTTTAACAGACGAATGCATGAAGATAAAGATTTATATTTTATCAGATTTATATTATGTTATGTTATGTTATTATATTGGTATGTAAGGGTGAACTTATCACTCAGGGTGAAATTATCCACTCAGGTCAGACAAAGATGGAAGTCAGAGTCATATGGCTGACCTCAGAAGAGGAAGTTTATTTTAAGCCTTTGTATTTTTAACAACATACATGAGACAAGAAACAGCTTTGAAACCACAGTGTTCTGATTATGTGAGCGTGACATTTGCGTCTTTTCAGTGTTCCACGCTGCTAGCTCTGATGCTAAACCTCCTCTTGATCACCCAAGCTCCCACACCCAGAGCCAAAAGCAGCTTGGTACCCAAGGCCAGAGCAAGAAGCAGCACAAGGAGAGAGAAAGAGCTCTTTGCGGTTAATCTCTCTGGACTGGGGGGCAAAAGGTAGAGCGTGGCTTGATCCTTCCCCAAAGAGTTTGAAGCCGCACAGATGTACTGTTGTCCAGGTTTGACGTCCAGCAGTTGGCTTGAAGTGCGGTATTGCCCAGTAGCGTCCTGAGAAAGAGGGAATGAAGTATCTCCCTCCTGAACACCATCTGGTTCTATCCATTGAATGTCAGGAAGAGGGGAACCCTGAACATGACACACGGCTTTGAAGCCAGCTTCAGTCCCCTCGGCTGACAAACTCAGGATTCGTGGTGCAGCTAGTAATGAGCAACATAAAAATACCTGTCAGAATTTAAGAGCTGGCTTCCATTCAGTTCATAATTTGAATTGTATAGGCCAAAGCCCATTGTAATTTGAATTGGAATGAAAGGAAGTGGAATTTACTGAATTACAATAGTTTTTGAAAGCTTGGTGGTGACACTGAAGTCATGTGACCATGGAGTAGTTTTTTTATACTGTAGCCTACGTTTAGTTTTTTATTTCTACTGATTGTGTTTAGGTTCCAAAATTAATGACAGTTATGCTTATTTGTGAAGATTATCTTAAACAATACCTGTAAGAATCATTAACTTTGCTGGTCACAGAACTTATTTTCTGCAATAATCAAAAAGCCAATGGAAAAATCCTGTTGTGTTTTTGTTAGAGGAACTTAGGTGGTGGAAACTTCTGGGCTGGTCTTCAAAAATATGCCGTGCAGTGCTCTATTCATAGAAATTCAACAGGAATTCAGGGAAATTAAGTGCCCCCCCCCACCCTGTTTCATAAATTTTGTAAATATAAAGATGAATATATAAATTAACTAAAATGTATGGCGTTTCAAACAGATTTGTCTTAAGGCCTATAAAATGTTCAGTACTTTTTAAATGTCATTCACACAAAGCCTTATCAAGCTTTCTTTAGAAATTTGTCTTGACAAACCTTAATTTTAAACTAACAATTACAAATATAGATTTTAGTTCATTTTACATTGACTTCCTTTTTAATTTGACTTTTCATATTTTAACATTTTAAGCCAAATTGCAATTCTGCTTTGCTGTTTGCAACCTTAATTTAAATTCAGGAAATTAATTGAAATTTAAATTGAATTTTGAAAAGCATTCTGAATGGAACACAACACTTCATCCATATTCTTACTGCCAAGTAGAACAGTCTTGGAACAAGCAATCAGTTTGGCATTAGAGTTCATATCAACTTATTTTTATCATTTCTATATTTAGAGATATTTATCGATTAGGTAATAATTGGTTGGGGTTAGGACTATGCTTGTTGGACATGAATATTGTTCCATAAGAAGCAAACTTACAGTCATCATAAAGATACAATATTTCTTTTCCCTCTTAAACACGTTAAGACATCAGATGGGAACATACAGGAATCAACTGATGCTTTTCTTACCCTCCACTCGTAGACGAGTACCCAGTGTGTTCTCAAAGCTTGTATGGGGATGCCCCAGTATCTCTACACGGCAGTAGTAGCGGCCGCTGTCCTTCAAGGTCATGCTGTTGATCCTGAGTGAGACGTCATGGTTTCGGTGGTTGCCCTCCAGGCGGTAGCGCTGGTCCTGGATGGGCTTTGATTGGCACAGCTTGCTGTTGTTCAGGCTCGTGCAGCGGAACAGCACAGTGGCGGCCCGTCCGTGGCCCAGGGTCCACACCACATGCATGGAGGAGGGATGGGTGTGATGCGGGTGGCTAAAAGAGCAGGGAAGCACTACTGGGTACCCGTCCATCGCCCGGACCTCAGTGGGCGCTTTCATCAACCAGCCATCATCGTCTTTGGCTATAGCTAGGGAACAAAGTTGACAAAGCGTACAAAATCAACATTATCAGGTCTATTGAGTTATTCTATTCAAACTCTGTTTTGAATCTTCTTACCTGCAGAATAAAGGATCACCAGCAGACAGAGAGTATTAGTAAACTGGTGTGTGTCCATTGCAGACGTTCTGGATTTATGATTCAGTATGAGAAGAAGAGAAGAAAAAAATTCCTAGCAACATGTTCCTATTTCTGACTCACCATCACACATTACTGACTTCATACATCTACTAATATTGCTATCTATCTATCTATCTGTCTGTCTGTCTGTCTGTCTGTCTGTCTATCTGTCTGTCTGTCTATCTGTCTGTCTGCCTGCCTGCCTGCCTGCCTGCCTGCCTATCTATCTATCTATCTGTCTGTCTATCTATCTATCTATCTATCTATCTATCTATCTATCTATCT